TCCTGGATCTGATCCTGACCTTTGAAATCTATTTTTTTTTAAGTCTTAAAGGAATAGTACACCCAAAACATGGTTAGCCTTAATTTTCTACTCACCCCCATGCTGAACAACACTCTGGAGTACTTTTTTGATATCTCAAATGCATCTGGAGATCTGGGAGGCTTCTTGCTGTCTGCTGACATTCAAATAATGGAGGTCTATGGCGCCCGAGGCAGAAAGGTCCATAAAAGTCCACAAAAAACGTGTCAATATTCCTCCATACTGCTCGTCCAATGTATTCCAAGTGTCCTGAGTGGGTAGCGTCCATAATTTACTCGAAACGAAGTCATTTAGAATGTTTTTAGAGCATAAACAGTAGTGTATAGGATTTCCTGAAAGCGCGCACCTGCGCGATCACGACGCTACGGAAGCCGGCAGACCAAACCAGATGAAAGTGCGCATTCAGCGTCTGCTCTGCCAATAATGCAAGCGTAGAAGAAGAAATGTGCTGTTTACCTGTGCAAAGAAAGAAACAACGAAAGAAAAATGTCTGAGGACTTCAGTGTTGAGGAAGAGCATGAGTTCTTTGCCGAGCTGAATGCGCACTTTCATCTGGTTTGGTCTGCCGCGGTTTCCGTAGACTCGTGAACGCGCTTTTAGGAAATCCTATACACTACGGTTTATGCTCTAAAAACATTCTAAATGACTTCGTTTCCAGTAAATTCTGGACGCTACCCACTCAGGACACTTGGAATACATTGGACGAGCAGTATGGAGGAACATTGACACGTTTTTTGTGGACTTTTATGGACCTTTCTGCCTCGGGCGCCATAGACCTCCATTATTTGAATGTCAGCAGACAGCAAGAAGCCTCCCAGATCTCCAGATGCATTTGAGATATCAAAAAAGTACTCCAGAGTGTTGTTCAGCATGGGGGGGAGTAGAAAATGAAGGCTAATCATGTTTTGGGTGTACTATTCCTTTAATCAGGGTCATTGGGAGGGTGGGGAGGCGCCCTAGCGCCATCTGTTGGCCAGCCGTCACTGCATTGCAAGATTTTTCAACAAGGTCAATTGTTCAGAATCAGAATCAGGTTTATTGCCATTGTTAGTGAAGGAGTTCACAAACTAGGAATTTTTTATGGTACAATCGTGCAACATGAAACATATAATATGGAATAGGTAAATAAATTTATAAAAATCTCTAAAACACTGTGGATATAAGGCATGCAAAAAATAGACTAATATATACACTTAGGATAAAAATATGGATAAACAACAATAAGCAACACTTACAAACCTTGTCTGCACAGAAGATATAGTAGATATAGATATAGTTGACAGTGCACCAAAAAACTCAAAATCCCACCATGTTGGGGCAGCATGAATGTGGGGGAGGGGTCTTTATTTCCAGGTAGGCTGGATCCATTCATCTATTTAGCTAGAACAATTTGGGTATTTGTATTTTATAACCTGCCCTTTTTATCAACACACAAAAGCTGCTCACGCTTACATAGAATTAAGATAGATTGTTTTACTATTAGAACATTTCTCTTTTTCTGGACTTATTAGGATTGCAGTGATACGAACATGTTGGCTGATATTTATTCTATTCAGTTTATTTCTATAGCTCCAATTCCCATCATGTCATCTCAGGTCACTTTATAGATCCAGATCATCCAGATCATCCAGTCAGATTGATTCAAAGTTTTCTATCTAAGGAAAACCAGCTGATTGCATCGACTCATTGACTCTTCAGCAATCCCTCACACTAAGCATGCTTGTAGCGACAGTGGAGAGGAAAAACTCCCTTTGAACAGGAAGAAACCTCCAGCAGAACCAGGCTCAGTGTGAGCGGCCATCTGCTGAGGCCCACTGGGGTTCAAGGAGACAGAAGTTTAATCAAGTTCAAAATGCAAGTCATGCTAACAGAGACAGTACTGTCTGATTGGTTAAACGTTTTCTATATGTGGAAAACCAGCTGATTGCATCCAGTGATTGACTTGCAGGATACGCTCTTCCTGAATGAGCTTGCTGCAACAACCTCCGCTTTTAGTCATTTGCATTTTGTCTTTGACTCTAAAGTAATCTTTCACACAGAGCTTGCATGCGGGGACAGTGGAGAGTAAGACTCCCTTTAAACAAGAAGAACCATCCAGCAGATTCAGGTATTAATAGCTGATATTAACGTAACCTTCTGGCTAATAACCAAAATTGGCCAGTTTCATATATTTTGAACCCTTTGGACACCATAAAAAAGCAATCAATTCTGACATTCTCTGCCTATGTTAAAATTTTACAGTTGTGAGCCACTTCCCACTCTCTGTTACACGACTGATCCCCTCCCCCTCCTGAAACGAAAATACCAACTATATGGAAATCCACATCGATAGTTATTATCGGCCTAGTTTTGCTTGATGGACAAAAACAGCCTTAAAATGAGATTGCTGATTACAGATATTAGTGCTGATATATTGTAAATCCCCTAATATTATTATTTACTATCTATTTTTTATCTTTCGCATAGCTCGGTTAATTTTTGTACTATTGACAAAAATGTTGAATTGTATTTGTTTCATAAGCATTGCTCTAAAACCCTCAGTTTTATTAAAATACTTGGTATGTGGAAAAATGTGAGAATTTTCAAAGAGTTTAGCCATTTTTGCAGGCGTTACTGTCTGCATGGCGGACGGCCTCTGGATCCTGTGTTTCTGTGAGGAGCTCAATGTGCATCAGCACTCTGGTGACCTCTGGTTAAAAACAAATCCAACCTTGCTGTGACATGGTTTTTTTGTGCCATTTTGTTTGCCTTTTCAAAGTAGACCTCCATTCAGTTACTATGACCATCTACAGAGTTGCTCCAGAATTTGCTGCATGGATCTTAAGCCCCATTTCCATAAATACTTTATTTGTATATTTGCTATCTCAGGGAATAGATTGAACTTGAGGTCAGTCGAGGTCTCTGCTTTCCTGCTGCCTTTCTTGACTCTAACAATTCAGAGGGTAATTGCAACGCTGACCCTGAAAGCAAAAAAACAAAAAACAACATATGTGTGCATCTTCCTGGTAGCTCGTGCATAAACTGCTCCTCTCTCCGTCCTTGTTGCAGATCCTTATGTAAAGGTGTGGCTCATGCACAAGGACAAGCGCGTAGAGAAGAAGAAGACGCCGGTGATAAAGCGCTGTCTGAATCCAGTTTTCAACGAGTCCTTCCCCTTTGATGTCCCTGCCCATGTGCTTAGGGAGACCACCATCATCATCACCGTCATGGACAAGGACAGGCTGAGCCGCAACGATGTTATCGGAAAGGTAATTTATGATATTGCGGGGAGTCTGATCTGAGGGGAGTCTGCAGAGTCCTTTAAATCTGTTTCACCTGTGGATGCAAGTAGTTACAAGTTTCTGGTATGATGTCTGAAAAAGTGCCTATAAGTCCAGTTTAAGATTCACACCAACTGCAGTAAATGCACCATTTCAACCAGCAAATTATTTACATATGAACGTCTACTTCCCACCGTGGGATTGATGGATATATAAACCATCCTTCTCAGCTACTCCAATGGTTTCAAACCAACAGGAGATTTAGAAATTCCCCATTCTTCCCAGTAGTCGGGTTATCTTTGAACAAAGACTGTGTTGACAACCAGTTTACTGTGTCCTTAAAAAACATTCATAACAAAATATGCGTTTCTACGCCAAAAATGAGTTTGTTTCAGTTAGAATCCTAAAAATCCTGTTATAATAAAAATATTGAACATTTTTACGGCTAAAGCTATAAGGTTCAGATAAGAACCAGGTAAGCATCCTCCTCCTGGTTGGTATAGATCTTTTTTTTAAATCTAGATTAATTTCACTGTAATCTTGGAATTAATGTAGATTAATCTAGATTAAATTTGCTCATTTGAATTCTGCCAAAGGCGTTTATTATGTGTGTTAGATCCACAATTTAAAATAATTTTTTTCCTTTTTCTTCTGTTTGTAAAAATCACACGTAATTTCGTCTCATTGCTCAAGATTTTGACAGTTATAAATGCATCCATCATCCATCCATCATCCATCCATCCATCATCCATCCATCCATCCATCCATCATCCATCATCCATCCATCCATCATCCATCCATCCATCATCCATCCATCCATCATCCATCCATCATCCATCCATCATCCATCCATCCATCATCCATCCATCCATCATCCATCCATCCATCATCCATCCATCCATCATCCATCCATCATCCATCCATCATCCATCCATCATCCATCCATCCATCATCCATCCATCCATCATCCATCCATCCATCATCCATCCATCATCCATCCATCATCCATCCATCCATCATTCCTCCATCCATCATCCATCCATCCATCATCCATCCATCCATCATCCATCCATCCATCATCCATCCATCATCCATCCATCCATCATCCATCATCCATCCATCCATCATCCATCCATCCATCATCCATCCATCATCCATCCATCCATCATCCATCCATCATCCATCCATCATCCATCCATCATCCATCCATCCATCATCCATCCATCCATCATCCATCCATCATCCATCCATCATCCATCCATCCATCATTCCTCCATCCATCCATCATCCATCCATCATCCATCCATCCATCATCCATCCATCCATCATCCATCCATCATCCATCCATCATCCATCCATCATCCATCCATCCATCATCCATCCATCATCCATCCATCATCCATCCATCCATCATCCATCATCCATCATCCATCCATCATCCATCCATCCATCATCCATCCATCATCCATCCATCCATCATCCATCCATCATCATCCATCCATCATCCATCCATCCATCATCCATCCATCATCCATCCATCATCCATCCATCCATCATCCATCCATCATTCATCCATCCATCATCCATCCATCCATCATCCATCCATCATCCATCCATCATCCATCCATCATCCATCCATCATCCATCCATCATCCATCCATCCATCATCCATCCATCATCCATCCATCCATCATCCATCCATCCATCATCCATCCATCATCCACCCATCATCCATCCATCATCCATCCATCCATCATTCCTCCATCCATCATCCATCCATCCATCATCCATCCATCCATCATCCATCCATCCATCATCCATCATCATCCATCCATCATCCATCCATCCATCATCCATCCATCCATCCATCATCCATCCATCCATCATCCATCCATCATCCATCCATCATCCATCCATCATCCATCCATCCATCATCCATCATCCATCCATCATCCATCCATCATCCATCCATCATCCATCCATCATCATCCATCCATCCATCCATCATCCATCCATCCATCATCCATCCATCCATCATCCATCCATCCATCATCCATCCATCATCCATCCATCCATCATCCATCCATCATCCATCCATCATCCATCCATCCATCATCCATCCATCCATCATCCATCCATCATCCATCCATCATCCATCCATCCATCCATCATCCATCCATCAATCATCCATCCATCCATCATCCATCCATCATCCATCCATCCATCCATCATCCATCCATCCATCATCCATCCATCCATCATCCATCCATCATCCATCCATCATCCATCCATCATCCATCCATCATCCATCCATCCATCATCCATCATCCATCCATCATCCATCCATCCATCCATCATCCATCCATCATCCATCCATCATCCATCCATCCATCCATCATCCATCATCCATCCATCATCCATCCATCCATCATCCATCCATCCATCATCCATCCATCCATCCATCATCCATCCATCATCCATCCATCCATCATCCATCCATCCATCATCCATCCATCATCCATCCATCATCCATCCATCCATCATCCATCCATCCATCCATCCATCCATCCATCCATCCATCATCCATCCATCCATCCATCCATCCATCATCCATCCATCATCCATCCATCATCCATCCATCCATCATCCATCCATCCATCATCCATCCATCATCCATCCATCCATCATCCATCCATCCATCCATCATCCATCATCCATCCATCCATCATCCATCCATCCATCCATCCATCATCCATCCATCCATCATCCATCCATCCATCCATCCATCCATCCATCCATCCATCCATCATCCATCCATCATCCATCATCCATCCATCCATCCATCATCCATCCATCATCCATCCATCCATCATCCATCCATCCATCATCCATCCATCCATCATCCATCCATCCATCCATCATCCATCCATCCATCCATCATCCATCCATCATCCATCATCCATCCATCCATCCATCATCCATCCATCCATCCATCCATCATCCATCCATCATCCATCCATCCATCATCCATCCATCCATCCATTATCCATCCATCATCCATCCATCCATCCATCATCCATCCATCCATTATCCATCCATCATCCATCATCCATCCATCCATCATCCATCCATCCATCCATCATCCATCATCCATCCATCATCCATCCATCATCCATCCATCCATCATCCATCCATGATCCATCCATCATCCATCCATCCATCATCCTCCATCCATCATCCATCCATCCATCATCCATCCATCCATCATCCATCCATCATCCATCCATCATCCATCCATCCATCATCCATCCATCCATCATCCATCCATCCATCATCCATCCATCCATCCATCATCCATCCATCATCCATCCATCATCCATCCATCATCCATCCATCCATCATCCATCATCCATCCATCATCCATCCATCATCCATCCATCATCCATCCATCCATCCATCATCCATCCATCATCCATCCATCATCCATCCATCATCCATCCATCCATCCATCCATCCATCATCCATCCATCCATCCATCATCCATCCATCATCCATCCATCATCCATCCATCCATCATCCATCCATCATCCATCCATCCATCATCCATCCATCCATCATCCATCCATCCATCATCCATCCATCATCCATCCATCCATCATCCATCCATCCATCCATCATCCATCCATCATCCATCCATCCATCCATCATCCATCCATCATCCATCTATCATCCATCCATCCATCCATCCATCATCCATCCATCATCCATCATCCATCCATCATCCATCCATCCATCATCCATCCATCCATCATCCATCCATCATCCATCCATCCATCATCCATCCATCCATCATCCATCCATCCATCCATCATCCATCCATCCATCCATCATCCATCCATCATCCATCATCCATCCATCCATCCATCATCCATCCATCCATCCATCCATCATCCATCCATCCATCCATCATCCATCCATCATCCATCCATCCATCATCCATCCATCCATCCATTATCCATCCATCATCCATCCATCCATCCATCATCCATCCATCCATTATCCATCCATCATCCATCATCCATCCATCCATCATCCATCATCCATCCATCATCCATCCATCCATCCATCCATCCATCCATCCATTATCCATCCATCATCCATCCATCCATCCATCATCCATCCATCCATCCATTATCCATCCATCATCCATCCATCCATCCATCATCCATCATCCATCCATCCATCATCCATCATCCATCCATCCATCCATCCATCCATCATCCATCCATCCATCATCCATCCATCATCCATCCATCATCCATCATCCATCATCCATCCATCCATTATCCATCCATCCATCCATCCATCCATCATCCATCATCCATCCATCCATTATCCATCCATCCATCCATCCATCATCCATCATCCATCATCCATCATCCATCCATCCATCATCCATCCATCCATCCATCCATCATCCATCCATCCAACCATCATCCATCCATTATCCATCCATCATCCATCCATCCATCCATCATCCATCCATCATCCATCCATCCATCATCCATCATCCATCCATCCATCCATCATCCATCCATCCATCCATCATCCATCATCCATCCATCCATCCATCATCCATCCATCCATCCATCCATCCATCCATCCATCCATCATCCATCCATCCATCATCCATCCATCCATCCATCATCCATCCATCATCCATCATCCATCATCCATCCATCCATCCATCATCCATCCATCCATCATCCATCCATCCATCATCCATCCATCCATCCATCCATCCATCCATCCATCCATCCATCCATCTCCTCCACTAGGGGCAGTACATCCTCCCCAACCCAGAGAAAGCACTCTACCCTTCCATGGCTCCAGACCATGGTCTGAGATCCTCATCCCTGCCGCTTCACACTCAGCTGCGAACCGCTACAGTGAGAGCCTTAGATCACGCCCTGATGAAGCAAATAGAACCACGTCATGCGCGAATAACAGAGATTAAGGCCGCCAAAATGGATCCCCTAATCACCTTAGCTGTGCCTACAAATTCATTCCATAAAAGTTCTGAACAGAATCGGCCACGCTACAAGGCCAGCTGTTCAGCTGAAGAGATGCAGAGAGGAGGTCACACCAAGGCGACTTTCAGCACTGATGGTGGTCCAATATGGCGGTCATACGGCCCATGAACTGTTCTTAACACCATCCAATAGGTTCAGTTAGAACAACACACCCTTTATAAGCAAATTGAACAAAACCAACTCTTTCTCCAGAGTCAGTTAGCATTTAGTAAATATCATTACACATCAATTTAGGCATTTTATTTCAGCCATTTCAAAATGTTCCATATTCTTTCTCCTGTGTGATTATTTTTTTGGCTTTATCCTGTGCAAAGTGTTTTAACCCGATCAGTGAACATATTCAGATCATTTCGCTCTGACTGATTAATACAACTCATTTTGCAATATACTTATTATTGATGCCAGTCGTCTATAAAGGAGCTTGTTTTATAACCTATAGATAACTTTAACAACCTCTGTAGGCCTAAATACTAAAGAAAAAAGAAGTTATGTATTTAAATTAGCAAAATAGTTGCATTAAAAGCTATAAATCTCCTCTGTTTATTCTCTGACTGGGAATAGAATGAATGATACATGATATACTTTGACTTTAATGTATTTTGCTGATGATTTTACAGAGTTTGGGTGAATGTTGTGGTTTTTCTGCCCCCTCTCTCAGATCTACCTATCTTGGAAGAGCGGACCCGCAGAAGTAAAGCACTGGAAGGACATGCTCGCTCGGCCGCGTACTAATGTGGCCCAGTGGCACGCTCTTAAGGCCTGATCGTTCCACCCAGCGTCCTCCATGGCCACTTCCCATCTCCTATTTCCTGGCCCAGTTCTCTCTTCCCTCTTCCCGCTCCCGTCCTTATGCACAAGACTGACTTGCTGCCAGGCTGCGAAACACGGGTACAATTAGCCATCTGCTCTCTTAAACCTTTAAACTCTATTTTCTTTTACATTCTCTATTTCCCTCTGAATTTCACCCCCTGATGCTGTTGTGTGTTTTTTCTGCATCGCCACTTTGCCAATAGTCCCCCTGTTTCTGTCTGTCTGTCTGTCTGTCTGTCTGTCTGTCCTGATGCTATTGGCTCATGGAGGTCTAATAATCCTATTCTTCGTCAGTCCCTTGGTTACTAACGTCCCTACAGCCCCTGATCAATTAAATAAGGTGGTATCCCATCAAATTATTATAATTTCAACTCATTTAGTCCTACTGTACTAATAGTACAGTTACATAGGATGATATAAAATCTACTGCTTATACATACAGGTGGATCTCAGTCCATTATATCCTTAATTGGATAAACCCCAAATTCTGTTTCTCAGAGAATTTGATTCTGACTTCAGACCAATGAAAAAGACGTTTAATCCAGAATGCGGTGCTACTGTCTGTAGTTTAGAGTTCTAAACCCAACAGGACTCCGTGCTCAGTGGCATAGAGGCCGTCAGTCTGTAGTCCTGCTGCTTTAATAGCCACCTTCACATCCTTTCATGCTTTTTCTGGTGTCTCTTCCTCTCCTTGGTGGGGGTTTATATGAGGAGAACTGGCTGACCGATCAACATGGCAGATGCTGTGTTTCCACCTTTAAGGAGCCGACAGGGTTTAGCCATGGTCAGCTGTCAAAGGGTTAACCATGGTCAGCTGTCAAAGGGTTAACCATGGTCAGCTGTCAAAGGGTTAACCGTGGTCAGCTGTCAAAGGGTTAACCATGGTCAGCTGTCAAAGGGTTAACCATGGTCAGCTGTTAAAGGGTTAACCATGGTCAGCTGTCAAAGGGTTAACCAATGGTCAACTGTTAAAGGGTTAACCGTGGTCAGCTGTTAAAGGGTTAACTGTGGTCAGCTGTTAAAGGGTTAACCATGGTCAACTGTTAAAGGGTTAACCGTGGTCAGCTGTTAAAGGGTTAACTGTGGTCAGCTGTTAAAGTGTTAACCAATGGTCAACTGTTAAAGGGTTAACCAATGGTCAACTGTTAAAGGGTTAACCGTGGTCAGCTGTTAAAGGGTTAACCGTGGTCAGCTGTTAAAGGGTTAACCAATGGTCAGCTGTTAAAGGGTTAACCATGGTCAGCTGTTAAAGGGTTAACCGTGGTCAGCTGTCAAAGGGTTAACCAATGGTCAACTGTTAAAGGGTTAACCAATGTCAACTGTTAAAGGGTTAACCGTGGTCAGCTGTTAAAGGGTTAACCATGGTCAGCTGTTAAAGGGTTAACCATGGTCAACTGTTAAAGGGTTAACCATGGTCAGCTGTTAAAGGGTTAACCAATGGTCAGCTGTTAAAGGGTTAACCAATGGTCAACTGTTAAAGGGTTAACCGTGGTCAGCTGTTAAAGGGTTAACCGTGGTCAGCTGTTAAAGGGTTAACCAATGGTCAACTGTTAAAGGGTTAACCAATGGTCAGCTGTTAAAGGGTTAACCGTGGTCAGCTGTTAAAGGGTTAACCAATGGTCAGCTGTTAAAGGGTTAACCAATGGTCAGCTGTTAAAGGGTTAACCAATGGTCAGCTGTTAAAGGGTTAACCATGGTCAGCTGTTAAAGGGTTAACCGTGGTCAGCTGTTAAAGGGTTAACCATGGTCAGCTGTCAAAGGGTTAACCAATGGTCAACTGTTAAAGGGTTAACCATGGTCAGCTGTCAAAGGGTTAACCAATGGTCAACTGTCAAAGGGTTAACCAATGGTCAGCTGTTAAAGGGTTTACCAATGGTCAGCTGTTAAAGGGTTAACCATGGTCAACTGTCAAAGGGTTAACCAATGGTCAACTGTTAAAGGGTTAACCAATGGTCAGCTGTTAAAGGGTTAACCGTGGTCAGCTGTTAAAGGGTTAACCGTGGTCAGCTGTTAAAGGGTTAACCATGGTCAACTGTTAAAGGGTTAACCATGGTCAGCTGTCAAAGGGTTAACCAATGGTCAACTGTTAAAGGGTTAACCAATGGTCAGCTGTTAAAGGGTTAACCGTGGTCAGCTGTTAAAGGGTTAACCAATGGTCAGCTGTTAAAGGGTTAACCAATGGTCAACTGTTAAAGGGTTAACCAATGGTCAGCTGTTAAAGGGTTAACCGTGGTCAGCTGTTAAAGGGTTAACCATGGTCAGCTGTCAAAGGGTTAACCAATGGTCAACTGTTAAAGGGTTAACCAATGGTCAGCTGTTAAAGGGTTAACCGTGGTCAGCTGTTAAAGGGTTAACCAATGGTCAGCTGTTAAAGGGTTAACCATGGTCAGCTGTTAAAGGGTTAATCATGGTCAGCTGTCAAAGGGTTAACCAATGGTCAACTGTTAAAGGGTTAACCGTGGTCAACTGTTAAAGGGTTAACCAATGGTCAGCTGTTAAAGGGTTAACCGTGGTCAGCTGTTAAAGGGTTAACCAATGGTCAGCTGTTAAAGGGTTAACCGTGGTCAGCTGTTAAAGGGTTAACCATGGTCAGCTGTTAAAGGGTTAACCAATGGTCAACTGTTAAAGGGTTAACCATGGTCAGCTGTTAAAGGGTTAACCAATGGTCAGCTGTTAAAGGGTTAACCGTGGTCAGCTGTTAAAGGGTTAACCAATGGTCAGCTGTTAAAGGGTTAACCAATGGTCAGCTGTTAAAGGGTTAACCATGGTCAGCTGTTAAAGGGTTAACCAATGGTCAACTGTTAAAGGGTTAACCATGGTCAGCTGTTAAAGGGTTAACCAATGGTCAGCTGTTAAAGGGTTAACCATGGTCAGCTGTTAAAGGGTTAACCATGGTCAGCTGTTAAAGGGTTAACCATGGTCAGCTGTTAAAGGGTTAACCAATGGTCAACTGTTAAAGGGTTAACCATGGTCAGCTGTTAAAGGGTTAACCAATGGTCAGCTGTTAAAGGGTTAACCATGGTCAGCTGTTAAAGGGTTAACCATGGTCAGCTGTTAAAGGGTTAACCAATGGTCAACTGTTAAAGGGTTAACCATGGTCAGCTGTTAAAGGGTTAACCAATGGTCAGCTGTTAAAGGGTTAACCATGGTCAGCTGTTAAAGGGTTAACCAATGGTCAGCTGTTAAAGGGTTAACCATGGTCAGCTGTTAAAGGGTTAACCAATGGTCAGCTGTTAAAGGGTTAACCATGGTCAGCTGTTAAAGGGTTAACCAATGGTCAGCTGTTAAAGGGTTAACCATGGTCAGCTGTTAAAGGGTTAACCAATGGTCAGCTGTTAAAGGGTTAACCATGGTCAGCTGTTAAAGGGTTAACCATGGTCAGCTGTTAAAGGGTTAACCAATGGTCAGCTGTTAAAGGGTTAACCAATGGTCAACTGTTAAAGGGTTAACCATGGTCAGCTGTTAAAGGGTTAACCATGGTCAGCTGTTAAAGGGTTAACCAATGGTCAACTGTTAAAGGGTTAACCATGGTCAGCTGTTAAAGGGTTAACCAATGGTCAGCTGTTAAAGGGTTAACCATGGTCAGCTGTTAAAGGGTTAACCATGGTCAGCTGTTAAAGGGTTAACCATGGTCAGCTGTTAAAGGGTTAACCATGGTCAGCTGTTAAAGGGTTAACCAATGGTCAACTGTTAAAGGGTTAACCAATGGTCAGCTGTTAAAGGGTTAACCAATGGTCAGCTGTTAAAGGGTTAACCAATGGTCAACTGTTAAAGGGTTAACCATGGTCAGCTGTTAAAGGGTTAACCATGGTCAGCTGTTAAAGGGTTAACCAATGGTCAACTGTTAAAGGGTTAACCATGGTCAGCTGTTAAAGGGTTAACCAATGGTCAACTGTTAAAGGGTTAACCATGGTCAGCTGTTAAAGGGTTAACCATGGTCAGCTGTTAAAGGGTTAACCAATGGTCAGCTGTTAAAGGGTTAACCAATGGATTTTCCTTTTACCAGTTTTTTCTCTTTTAAAATAGCATAAAGTATTTATTCCTCTGGACTCGTGTTTTTTTATCCAGAGGTTTTGTGAGATTCTGTGATGGTTGCTGCACCGTAGGACATTATAAACAGCAGGACCAAACTTATTTTTGTTGGTTGGATTATTTGGTGTCTTAAAAATCAGCAGATAATTTTAAAATGTAAACCATGCATCAACTCCAGCAGGCTGAAATCTCCGTCTCTTCCCACTTTTTAACATTCTGAGACCTTGAATTCCCAATGAAACACAATTTTTTTCTTTTCTGATTAAAAAATAGGTTTGAGATATTTTTTTTAGCCCAGTTAATTAAGTCCAGTATTAGTTTGTGTCCTTTTCAGGGTTCACTTAAAACAAGGAATGTAAAAATTGTAGGAAGTTTGGTTCTCTGACAGCTCTGACTGCAGCCGTAGTCGGTCACTGATCCGTTACTCCTGACACCTCCGACTCTTTTCCTCTGGACTTTTTTCTTCCGCTTAACTTTCTAACAGTTTTCTTAACCATAAACCTTTGTGGCTTAAAAAAGTCTGATCCACAGTCTGATGGACGGCCGTCTGTCATGGATCAAATGTTTAAAGGCTTTGGTCTGAGAAACAGGAATTTGGGATTTTATCACCTGTAGTCTATGATTCTAGAAAGATAAGAGAAAGAAATACTCCAAATAATTTTTATTTTTTTATTTTGTTTTTAGTTAATCTCTGTGATTTTTTCCATTTTGAATTGAATTAGAAAGCAATAATTTTCCCTTGCTACAGAGATGCACCTATATGGATCTAATTAGGTTTTAACAGGGTTTCACCTACAAACACTACCAGCTAATAATAGCTTAGCTTTAGCTCTTTACCTGTTCCCCATTTCATTTCTCTAATCATATATTCCCTTGTTGTTGTTATCTCTCTCTCTCTCTCTCTCTCTCTTTATTTCATTTTAATCTCAAATTAGCTTCTTTCCTGGTCTAACGTTCAGCTGCAGCCACTGAAATCGATCAATAATCGGTTTATAATGAAACAAGCTGAACTCAGGATGGATTTGTTCACCTTTTTTCCTCTCTGTACCCCCCCCCCCCCCCCCCCCCCCCCCCCTTCCCCCTTCTGACACAATATTAGTGACTTATTTTGCCCCCCCCCCAGCATCCCTCTCTCTGGAGCCTTCCTCGTCGTCTGTGCGCTGTGGGTGCTGTGCTGTAGCTCCAACAAAAATAGAGATAAAAAAAATGTAAACTTTCCAAAGCTGGGAAAAGAGGGACACAAGCTCATGACATGGATTCGTCCGGATTTTTTCCAGAAGTAAAAAAAATTGAAATGACATGGAGAGAGAAAAAAGAAGATTCGGTCCCTGGAAGATACTTTTTATAACGTCACCAACTGCAGAGACGGATTGAAACCTTCCAAAGTTACCTGGGATTAGAGGCAGAAAGCAAAGCGTGTTCATCCAGCTGGGAGCCTCTTCTCTCCTCCCTGTCCGTCCTGCCCCCACCCCCCCCCCAGGTTGGACTGCTGTGTTGATGTATGCCTGCTGCCGGCTGAGTGAGCATTCACAGGATTCAAACTTTGCAGAAATCTTCTTCTCTTTCTGCTCTCGCCCTCTTCTTGCTCTTCTTACTGCCATTGTTTCCTCTACGGCCCCGCCTTCGGATGAGGCCCCGCCTTCTGATGAGGCCCCGCCTTCTGATGAGGCCCCGCCTTCGGATGAGGCCCCGCCTTCTGATGAGGCCCCGCCTTCGGATGAGGCCCTGCCTTCTGATGAGGCCCCGCCTTCTGATGAGGCCCCGCC